GTTACCAGTAGAAAGTACAGCAGTGAGTACTTGAGATTTTTATATTCATTTAAATACCAGTTATGCATATCTCTGAAAATAAACTTCAATAAACTAAATTTCATATTCAGCATTCTTTTCAGTGCAGTCGTTTTAGCTGTTGTAACTGTTGAAAGCATCACTGAGGAAGAAAGTAACACATATAATGAGCAGGATGCCAGTTTCAAAATATGTCAAAAGAAAAATGGATTCATGGTTGAAACACATCTGACATACAAACTGTTAAGTGCTCCACATCTTCCTCTAAGACTTTCTTTTCTTCTGCAGCTTCATAAATTTGACTTTAAAGTCACAAGTGGAAAACATTTAACCTTCCCAGCAACCCAAGAAACTCCAGAAAAACCGAAGAGCTTCATATCAGACTGTACAGGTCTCGGTTAGCATCTTAAATGTTAAAATTCATGGCAAATCAACAAAAGGGAGGCTGAAAAAAATCAGAGAATCAAGGTGAAGCGCAGACTTCAGCCAGATTGAAATGCTGTGGTGGGATCTTAAGAGAGCTGTGCTGTCCACAATCCTCGTGGAACTGAACACTGTAATAAGGCAGGGCTAAAATCCCTCCACAACAATGTGAAAGACTGATAAAGTCACACAGAAGACAATTACTTAAAGGTATTACCAATTAAGAATTTTTTTTTATTATATCCCGACACCTAAAACCTGAAAACTGACCAATGTTGTTCTTTCTTTTTACCACGTGGGCATATTTTTTCTTTTCTACCAACACGTTTATCACTGCTCAGGGATGTGCAAAGCAATCATGCATGTAACGACATTGTTTCCTTTATATTTTATATTTAGCTGTCATAAAATCATTGTTCTAAGTTAAACTCTCCCCTGCCTGTATTTAGAACATATCAGCTTAGCCTAAAATCTAAAGAGGCAGCAAACGTAAAACACAACTTCTATTTATACCCAGGCCCAGTTTCTGAAATTACTCTAATTTTACAACACATGGAAGTGTTAAAAATAAACATTAACAAGTATCCTTAACTCTCAGAAGCTCTCTGTAATTAAACTCTGCACCACTGATCTTAACTGAAACCGCCGTGACCATGACTTGTATAATGTCTGCTGTAAACGTAAAGCCGCCCCGACTTCCACGTGCAGTTGTGCAGCCTGAGGTTACAAAAGTCTCACAATCCGGCATTTCCTTGGCCTCCGGACTTGATGCTTGTGTCGTAAAATATTTTATAATTTCTATAAAGTGTCTGAAATTGGTGTATTGTTTAGATTTTTGGTGAAAGAAAGGTCATTCAAGGCTGCAATAAGCTTCACATAAGAAGATGAAACATTACAAAAATCCTAGATGCACGTACGCTATCCCATATAGCTCAATATAATCTTACCCTAGTCATCTGTTTAAAAGCCCCTAATAGCAATGTAATTGCAGTGATTCTGTCTGTTTCAGCACACACTTGCTCATCACGATCTACAAATCAAGTTCTCGTGGAACAGGACAATATTTCACAAAGACAAACCACAAAAACTGGGTCATAGAGTCGAGCATGGTTGAAAAACTGTACGGTGCTTCACAAATCGACAGTAAGCTCATCATCCACAAGTGTCTGCTTTATACTTCTGATATGACGTGAGCATGCCCAGTCATGACAACAATCCTGCAGCAATAAAATGCTTGATAACAGACATACAGTATTTTGTAATATGACATAAACCTACCATGCGATTCATCATATACAGCTCATGGAATATAATTGTACCTCATCCTAATCTGATCCAGGCCAGATTATTCTTTAAATAATCTACATACAATTTGAGATGAACACCACCATCAGACATATGTGGAACATGTGGAGCACTTAACGATTGGTATGTCTGATGTTTTCATCATTATTAAGTCAGCAAAAACTACATACAGCCACATCCTGTTAAATAAAATCAAACATCGAAAAGACTGAACAAGTAAGGCTTGTTAGGAAGGGTTGACGATAGAAAGCCTCTTCACTCTAACACGGCAGAACAGTTTAGGTGGAAACTTAGGTGGCAATTTGTGTTAACTGAGTCGACTTTAAACTCCTCTGTGTACCAAAGTGTTCAAGAGTCAAACGTGAGGCCATCTGTCCAAAAGCTAAAGCTTAGCTGAAATTGGGTACTGTGACTTTAAGCACTCCACATTAAAGGTTCCATATTAAATTGCACTGATTTGGGAAAGAAGTAATTTAAAGTGATGCCGGGTTGTTTACGTTTACTATATGTTGCTTAAAACCACAGATTCCTTACAAATTACAGACTCACGTAACTATGTTCCAAGTTCAAGCAGCTCGGTGGTGCAACACAAATCTGCTTTTTAGCTTAAACACAAACACACACACGTTCCTTAAAAAAAGACCTTTTGTGAAGTGGGCCATGCAGACATTTGGAAGTGACTCATCCTATTGTGCATCAACCTGTATAAACTCTGTAATTATTAGCTGGAGGGTTTTTAAGTAGAGAGATCACCCTTTGACATTTGGGGACACACAAATGATAGCTTTCTTCACCCTTTTAAAGACGTGTTTTTGCAGGTTTCAGTGTTTTGTCTATTTGCTTGAATTCCTTACAGTGAGGCTTACATGCAACGAGCTGCCCGATCCTAAATAAAGTACAGCAAAAAACACAAACAACATTTAGCGTATTAGGCGAATGAGGTGAAATTTATTTAATAACCTACCGTGAATTTATTTAAATAAAACAGTTTTGCCTCTTAATTCTTTAGCCTGTGTCCATGAAATGGGTGCTAACATCCTGTAGTGCCTTTTAGTTATTTCTGAATCTATTTAAACAGCTAAAAATGTCATCAGTGCATTGAAAAGTGGTGGAACTGCAATAGTAAATAACCAAAGCCTGGGTTTCTTTTGCAACCTGTGGACGTGTAGTCACAAGGCAGGAAGACATCTTCGCTTTACTGAATAAGTCTCACAAATCTTTAATAATAATTTAAAAAAAAAAGATCTTATAAAAGCCATAAGGGAGAGCAGTCTGTTGGGTGATTTTGTGTGCAGACTAAAAATATCTACTGCATAGATGCCATGATTTTTGTCCTGTTCATCCCCAAGGATGACTCACTAGCCTTAGTGATCCTTATTAATTCATTATTATTTTTATATATATATCAAGACACACCATCAGATTGGATTTGTCATTAAACAGGGGTCTGGGGGTGGAGGGGTCCTCCTTCGGAAAATTATGAACGTCAGACACTTCATTTCCTGCATTATGGTGGGTTTTTTATGCAACACTTTGTATCGTTTTTCTGCAATTTAATTGATGGTTTATGGAATTACAGGCATATCATTTTACTCTGCAGACTCTTCATGGTTAAGTTAAGTCATATTGCTCTCTACTGGCCACCATTAGCAACTAAAACTGGGTCAAAAACTTCAGCCAGTAAAGCATCAAGTGCTAAAACTGTTTATACTCGTGGGACTACAACGTGTGGGGTTAAAGAGGCCCAAATTTGTCACCTGATGGTCTGAAATAGATAATATAATGTTATAATGTTAAGGAGGCCATCTGGAACTTTTTTTTTGTTGCAAAAGTGTCATAAAATCTGCTGTATGTATGTGCTTTATTCAGGACTACTACTTGTTTTGCGTTACTGTATGCTGCAAGTAGATAATGGATTAATAAATCTTTGTGAAGGATGAAGCTGTCAATGCACTCTCCAGAAGATGCTGGAAAACTGTTACATTACAACTTCGGCCTTTGCAATGGACTGAATGTGTTCCCAGTATCTGGTCAAATGAGGCCACGCCTACTATGTTTTTATTGTACTCAGTCACACATGTCTGGGTTAAGGTTATGGAGACCCTCTCAAGATGGCCATCTTCATTTTCCTGCCAGTGTAAGCGTGTCCTCATTGTACACAGGGCTGACGGTGGCACAGAGGGAGACTTCCTGAACGTCAATTGAATTGAACTTAAAGGTCCCTGATGTACCAAATCAAGTCTCTTGGTGATCTTTCTTGGATGTTCCACAAGCCCTAAATCCCTGCTTTTTCAGGTGTTTAGAAGAAGGCTGGGCGGGTGTAGAAGCTGTGAAAGTAGATAATGCAACCCCATCGCAGACAGTCTTCATTCACCATTGATGTAACCAAATCAAAAGAAAGCCCTTTGATTTCCCCGTGTACAGTTTGAAGTCTATGGTGTTCAAAATTTTTTAGACCTCACTTGGTGGGTTTGTCTTTCATGCATTGTTTGATGGGTAATCTTGGCTTCATAGCAATTATCCTCTCATGTATGAAATATGCTTCTTCGGTTGGTAGTTACTCAGCAATTTTATATCATGTAAAGGAGACATCTGAACTGGTCGACTGAGTTTGTTTTGTTTTTGTTTTTTTAAATTGTGTAAATAATTTAATAGTTATAGTAGTTTAAACAAAAATCTGCTGTGCAAAGTTTGGTATGGATCTGATACCAAGTAAATAGAGCGCCAATTTTTCATTACCAATACTGTTAACCTATGAAGCTGGCTTATGTAGGATAGTAGTGTGTCATGAGATGAATCAGCAATTTGCAAATTCTGAACACATTTTAATGACCACTAAATCACTGACCGTTTTACTTTTCAAATTCCTTTTCCACAACTTTTTTTCATAACCCCATACCGGCAAAAAAACTAATTACCACAACACAGTGGGCTACATACCAAACTTACAGGATAGAAAAAGTATCGATCCTATCGTGCTAGTAATCCAAAAACCACCAGCATTGGTATCAATACTATTGCTTGATTGGATTTGGACTGATGTGCCCAGCTCTTGTTTATAGGAAAGGTCTACATTTTACATCACTGCCACTAATGACATTAAAATTGAGTTATTTTTAAATAAAAGTTTTGAGTCCATAACTAAATATTTACCCAGAGAGATGATACAGAAAAGGCAAGATTTCTTTTATTTTCTAATTTTTAAAGTAGTGATTATCATCTTTAAACGTTTAGATCATGTAAAAGTATACAAAAGCAGCCTTGCCATTTTCTAGGAATCACACTAAGAACTTTTAGTATCTATTAAATATACATGCGCAATTAAGCTTGCCCTTTTTAAAACACAAAATAAGAAGACACGACAGTGAAAAACGGGGGATGGATAGTGTAAAAAAGGATGCTCCTTTCAAAATATGCCATTAAAAAGTAATTATGAGCAGTGAGATGGATGATTTACAAATAGTTTTGCAAAGTTTAACACTAGAAGTGATCAAACCCAGCAGTACGTCTCTGCCGTGTTCATTCCAGGAAGCACTTTAGTACAAAGACTTAAGGCAATTTTATTTATTTCTTCAATAGCAGCATGTAATTTCAGGTTTTAATAACCAGCTGGAATATTGAGCAGATGTTAGCAATATTTTCAAATCAGGTTCTATTAGCTGATTAAGAGGCGGTCAAATCATCAGAAATTGAGACCAAAAAAAACGGAAAAAGGAAAAAAGGCCGGGCTGGCAAACTGAATGATTAATACTAATGCTGTGCTACTTTTTAAAATGTTATTTCAAAGCAGTTAATTTCTGTCCATTTCTATTCTCCTATTTGCTTACACTACATGAATTTAAGTGCTTTCTTCAGTCTGATATCAAAGACGACTTGTGACTTCTGAGTGTTTTGACTTCAGGTTTGGCCCCTCTCTCCTGACGCCTTCTATCAGCGGGTGATCTTGTAAACCACATCGCCAACCTGAAAGATGCCCGTCTTCTTCACGTTGTGCAGTTGTCCAAACAGTGGAGAAGTTTTATAGATGTGCTTCTCAGATGGTTTGCACAGGCGATAGCTGGGAGTTCAGAGACATTTTAGATGTGACAGACAGACAGAAAAAAAAAAAGCCCACTGTGAGGTTAAAACAGACTCACTGGCAACTTTATTATTAGGTACACCTTGCTAGTGCCAGATTGGAGATAATTGTCCTTTCAAAACCAATGTAATTTTTTGCCGCAGAGATTCAACAACATTTCTCTGAGATTTTGATCCATATTGACATGATGGCAACACACATTTTCTGCAGATTTCGACATCAATTTCTGACCCTATAATATGAACATCACAGCAGAAATCAGGGCTCATCAGACCAGAAGTCTTTCCAGTCTTTTTGTCTAATTTTGGTGAGGCCATGGGAATTGTAGCCTCAGTTTTCTATTTTTGGCTGACAGGACTGGCACCTGGTGTGCCTGCTGTAGGCCATCTGCTTCATGGTTTGACGTGTGTGCGTTCAGAGATGCTCTTCTGCATACCTTGGTTGCAACGAGTGAGTATTGTGGCTACTGCTGCCTTCCTTTCTCCCCCTTCCTCTGACCTCTGGTATCACCAAGACTTTTCTTTTGTCACCTGATGCTTTCTTTGTTTTGGACCATACTCTAAACCCTACCCCAGTAGATCAACAGTTTCCAAAATACTCAGTTTAGCCTGTTTGGTACTAAAAACTTTGCCACATTCAAAGTCCCCTTTCTTCCCGGATGCCCGCCCCTCCCTGAGCCTGATTCTGCTGGAGGCTTCTTCCTGTTAAAAGGGAGATTTTTTCCCCGACTGTCACTAAACCACTTGCTCATATGATTGTTGGGTTTTCTATTGTCTTTGTATTATTGTAGGGTCTTTACCTTACAATAGTGCCTTGACTATTATTGTGATTTGGCACTCAATGAATAAAATTGAACTGAACTGTGAAGCCCAGTTTGAATGTCAGCAGGCTATCTTGGTCATGTCTACATGCCTAAATGTCATGCAACTGGCTGATCAGAGAGTTGCGTTAACGAGCAGAAGAACAGGTGTACCTAACAAAGTGGCCACTGTTTGTACATAGAAATACAACATTACTCAAAAAAAACCATTCAAAAATATTTTTTAAAAAACCCTTTCCTAATAATAATAATAATAATAATAATAATAATAATAATAATAATAATGATGAGGTAAAATGTTACTTTTTCAGTGTTTCCAGAGGCTCTTTTCTGCTGATTACACCAGTCTCTGGATCGACTGTGGTGAAAAGACACCTGGTAAAAAAACAAAGCAAAACAAACTTACAGGTACGTTTGCATCCATTTAACCCCTAAATCATTTTTAACTTAAAAACACACACATTCACTTTGCCTGACAATTGCTTATTTCTAAAATCAAACTGCACAGACCAGCAATGACTCTTTGGATTTGCTCTTGTTGATAAATGCACTGATTCTGTGTGTGATTAAAATGTGCGCGTAGCATCCACAGTGTTACCTTCCACATGCCATTACACGCTGCAGTCGCACACTGCCAATCTGGAGCTCTTCCCACGAATCCTGAAAAAGCAAAGCAGTTGGTTTTGGAGTTGGAGACAAATTTAGTCCACGCTGTTCACACCGAAAAGGGTGAGTTATTAGTCACAAGTAAAAGGGCCAAATGATCGTCTTTTCAGCCAGGAAAAATAAAACAAAAGCTAATCACCAGTAGTGCAGACAGACATGAGAGCTAATATTTTTAAGACCTTAACTGGCTCTAAACTAGTTTTTGCTTTTCTTTGTAGACAAGAATATCAGGAGGTACGAGCATTAGTTTTTTTAGGCAAAGGCTGAACAACGCACCTCATCGAATGGTTTACAGTCACTTATCACAATGTTGGGGCGGAAGCGCTCAACCGTGACTCCCTTCTCTAACTTGCTGCTGAGATCCTTAACAGAAGCCTCTGACAGCAGCATCACAGGTCCAAAATCTGGGTAGGCCACCTCCTGGATAACACATCACAACAGGATCAGGGCATTTTGGCTTGAAAGATGCATCAAATTTAAGCATTAAAATAAACTACAAAGCATGTAGTACCTCAAATTGTTGGTAAACAGCCTCTTTCTCAGCTCGTTTTCTAGGCCTCATGCAAGGTTCAAAGTGCACCAGGCGATAGGTTTTCTCTGCCTTAAGGTAATGAGTAAGCCAGTGAGACACTTTGTCACCACAATCCCGGCCCTGAATGTCAACGCCAAACACTCTACAGGACAAAAAAGTAAATAAACACAAAAACACAGAAGAAGCATTTATGTAAATCTCAAACTAGAGGTTAGGAAAAAAACGCCACTGATTATTTGGTCAATTTATCAAAAGATTCAGACTCTGAAAGGCAGAATTATCACTTTATGACTGTATTAATTCACTGACTGGTCCAGGTTCAGTTTGCATCCACGTCAAACTAAACTTTACATTCAAAATGCATTCACTTCATAACTTTACTATATGAGATACAGTAAGAAACTGAATTATCCACCAAAAGAAGACCGAGCAGTATAAATGAAAAGCAGACGTAGCACCTGCAGTCGAGGACGGGGTTGTCGGGCTGTTTGATGGGGAACTTGAGTTCCTCCATGTTTGGGCCGTTTAAGCAAACCTGTCCTCCCTCACAGGTCAGAGACACCAAAACCAGACGTGGCTCCTGTCTGCCTGTCACCATGTGACCGTCCTCTGTCACCACCAGCCAGTGTCTGCAAACAAAACAAATAGAAAGCTGGATTTCCCTCACCCATCTGCATTATTTGGCATCCCAATTTAATTCCATGATCTGGCAAGAAACCCACACAAACTCAAGACAATATTAAAGGAATAGCGAAAAACGGATAACAAGATAGGAATCAATGACATCACAGGTTGCCATGGCAAAACTGAGTCATACAGAAATCCCAGATTTACGTCATAATTTATTAATATCCCCTGGTTGAAAATTGTTCTGGGTGTCATCCAGAAAGGCTCATGCAAGGTAGCACTGTCAACACATGTATTTAAAGAGTTAGAAAATAGGATATCCTTTCATAATAAAAGTTCCCTTATAATAAATATCTATACCCAAATTTTGAACTACAGCTCTGTTTTGAATGTATAAATAGCATGACATCCTTAATGTGTCAGCGAGGAGGGAGAGAGCATTTTTTGAAGTTAAAAATATTTATTATATTATAAATATAATAAATATTATATAACCATGTATAATCATTACAACTGTTAAACACTGTCCTCACTGTTACATTAAAAAAAAAATCCTCTTACCCACCATTTATATTTATCAGTATTAATTCAACATTAAACAACACTTAGGGTACAAAAACATTTGCTTTTTGAAAACTAGTTTGTGCATTTGAAGAAGCAGTGCTGGGAAACCTTGTGTGTGTGGGACTCGTACATGTGTTCTCTGTACTCAGCTCAGGCGCTTTTATAATCTTATGACCGTCCCCTTTAATCTTTGTTAGCTCAGACTAAATATATTTACTTTTTACTTTGCAGGTGCAAATCTGATGTATTTGCCTTCACGTAGCACCTTTGTACAAGTGCAAGTTTTATCCCACACTTAAAATATTTATACACCCTATATCTGTGACCAATTTTGAAACACCAGTTAACCTCAAATGCACGTCTTTTCTCTGTGACAGGAAGCTGGAAAACCTGCAGTAAACTCATGCAGAAAGATCCCAGTTGGGAATTTAACCAGGAACCTTCTTGCTGCGGGGTGACAGCACCAACCCTTCCTGCCTGTCTCTGCAGGAATCTGGACAAGTGTGGCGGCAGCATAGGCACCTTTTCTGGTGATGCTACAGAACTCTGATATTATGACTAATAATCATTTATATTTATTGGCTTTTTGTACACTGAAGCCGTTTTAAGCCAAATCTGACCGATTTCTCCTGATAGATTAGACCAGACCTTCCCAAAGTGTGGGGCGCAGAGCCATGGCGGGGGGGGGGCGACAACTAAATGCTTGGACACTGCTAGCACAGGTGTCTACAGAAACGCAAAGCAGGAGATGAAGCATCGCTGAATATGTTTCCAAACAAACTTCATTCTAAGCCAAAGACTAGAAAATATGGTGAAGCATATCTTCCCTTTGGCTTCATCTGCACAAGTGCCGAGGTAGGTCTCCCCTGCAGAGACAAACAGTATCCCACATTCGTGATTTTTAGTTCACAAACACTTCTTGTAATGACTAACTACTCCTGACATTTTGGAGATATACATACTATACTATACTTTATACAGTGAAGTTACAGTGGGATACAAATAACATCAGGCTGATCCTGCCACGATTTGTCCCCTGGGTTCAAATCACGGACAAACAGTATCCCACAGCTGTTTATGTTTTTAAGCCCATTTTGCACAGAGAGGCATTTTTTGAAAAATGTATTGATAGCAATGTTGAATATTATTACACAGGAAAAAAAAACACAACTACATGTAAAATAATGACACCGTGATGCCTCTGCCTTTGTAAATGGAGGAACAGTAACTGCGTGTAAAACCTGCAGATAGAGACAAAATACTGTTAATCTGACTATCTGCCATTCTGCAATTCATCTCATGTAAACAATAACGTGGCGCACAGCGTGACGTGAAAAAAGGCGCATACCTTTGACGTTGCATGACGAACTCTCCGTTTTCGGTGATTCGAAACGCCGTTTACGTGTGGACGAAACAGCTGCGTGTTCACAAATACCCGTGTAGGTGCGGACGCAGCGTAAAAGAGTTAGTAGTTAATTTTATTACTACCTGTAATTTATTGCAGATTACTTGTATTTGCTTAATTGTTTACTAAATGTTTGAGGTGTGAAATAAACCGCAATGGAGCAAAATATGGGTGTGTGTGGTTAGAGGATGTGTGTGTGCG